AATTTACAATATTTATATTATTACTAATAATACGGTAGCCGGTAAGTTGAATTAATATTATTTGTATGCAATAATGTAATATATAATATTTAGACTTAGAATAAAACACGAGACAAATAATGACAACGGACCATATTATAGAATGTGGGTGATCCAATATGCAATATATACTTACGCATTAGGCACATTTATACATTATACGCACTCCTCTTACCCACTCGACACATGCAACACATAAATAATATTCAACACCCCTCCGATCAGACGTTTAGTGGAGACAACACAATCAAATATCAGCGGCGCCAGTAAGCACCGTATATTATAAAATCATGAACGCATTCTTTCCTATATATATAAGTATATACATACGTGTACATATATATACAAATACATATAACATATATATATCCAGCGCTACGGTAGTGGAGCGAAGCTAAATGCGGGTTTCCACTATACACGATTGCCGTGTACACGAAAAATGTGCAGCTATGTCCAACAACACGGTATCATGGTTAACCGTGTGGTAAGTTACCACACGGTTACTGATCGCAAACAACCAATCACAGCAAATGATTTGTATGCACGTACTCGCATCCGTGTATAGTGGAAACCCGCCTTAAGTAAAAAAAAACAGCGGGGTAGCCACTAACGTATAATAACAGGACACCGAGTTTTAACATTGAAAAATCGTCCTAATTAATGTCAATTCTTTGCCAAGCTCTACAGGGCAAACGGCTGAACATATAAAGTCGTATGAGGTATCAATCGATTATAAATATTGTGCAGATGGGAACAGAGGAATTCGCTAGCAGATTGGTTAGATAGTTTATAAGTTATAAGCAAAAATGTTCAAGTACTTTTAAGACCGATTTTGCGTACGGAACAGTGGTGATGGATAAGCGGTGGGTCGGGGAACGAAAATATCGTAAATATCCCGCCGCTTAGGGCCGATACACACATTGGCGATTGCGACTGCGCGGTCTCTCGAATACCGGGCGGGCGCCGGCAACCATTTACCATTATACTGTTTCAGCAGACGAGTGACGACCAGCAAGATAGTATAAGATTATAGGTCACAGATATATAAAAATACTAGATAGACGAATCCCTATTCCTACAATGTAATAATTATGAAGCCTACAAAATGGCCGAAATACTCTTATCTAAGAGGTGAATGTTTACAAAATATAAATTATGATAAACTGTGATAATTTTATGGCGGGAATCCAAAACTATTAAATATGTATTACAAATTACAATATCATTATACATACACCTACTAGTTACAACACTGTCTAAGATATACTTATATTTTTAATTTTATAGTATATCTTAGTCCTTGACTTCAAAGATTAAAAGTATAATTTGTTGCAACAAACGCGAAATACAATATAGATATAATAAACAAGTTTCAAGCTCGTCCAATAAGCACATGCTTGAATTCTAATGATCTGATTTCATATTAAAAATGAACTAAAATGAAAATAAATATAACTTTATGTTACAACATAATAAATTAAAACAAAAAGATTTAATTTAATATTAAATATAAGAGAAAATATTATTAATATATACCTTATACTTGGTGAAATTATAAAAATTGGAGACATTAATATTATATTTATCTTATAACAAGCCTCATCTAATTATTAGACGTTGAGTTCCAAAATAAATGCCATTAAATGGTACAATTAAATTACAATTATTTTATGATCTTGTATTTATAACCATACAAAGGATGGAACTTACTTGTATTAACTTTAAACATATGGTATAATACAATTTGTAGATCATAAGTTTTGACTAAAAGTTCAATCCTTCAACTCATGGTAAATTATATTAGTAAAATTCGATTTAGTTTTTTTAAGAATGATTTTGATTAATTAATTTATAGTTTAGGGTAAAACATTGTTGTGTATAAGAGTATGTAAAGCCACACATCAAAATAAAATACAAACATTAAATATAAAAAATCTTGATTTAAAAATAATAAACCTATGTAATAATAAATTTGCATTTGATAATAATATTTTTAATACACTTTAATGTGATAATGCTCCTTTGCTAGATAGACCCCATAAGATGGTATTAATTTCATTATTAGTTAAAAAATATCTAAGTATTCGACTCCATTCTTTTGGCAAAATGTTTTCATCAGAAATTTTAAATCCTATTAATAAACGACAAAAATTAACAAATAATTGTTATGAACCAGTAGTAGGTATAAAATATTATATGTATTATATAGACTATAGGTACCAGTTTTATTTTAAATATTTGTATTATTATTAAATTAATTAATACACTAGTTTTGTTTTATTTACTTGAAATATTTTATATTTATTACTTTACTATGTAGTACAAGTATAGATACAAGTTTGGTTTTATTGATTTTAAATATAGCATTTCAAAAATAATAAATGGATGTAAAATGTATAATTAATTAATTCAGATTGTTTTTAAAAATATTTTACAATAGTTACACTGGTAGGGGAAGATCTCTAGTGAACGGCTGCACCGTCAGAGTGTGTAAACCTCTTTGGCGTTGTAGTTTCTTCTGGGCACACATACCCGGTCTACAGCTGTAACCAAAAACATTAAGTGCGATTGGATAGGTCATAACCTCACCAGAGGTGACACGCATGGTGGCTCCAGACCTGTGCTGTCTGGTATGGGGTTTCGGCCCAGGTGCTGGTGGTCTTTAGACGACACTCCTGCACGGCTGAACCTCTATGGCTCGTAACTAGCGCACAGCGCTAATATACGTCCCATAGCGTTGTAGTCCTGAGGCATCAAACCAAGGATAATAATGTGTATTTGATAAAATTCACGAATACTTGAACACGAAATCCCTCCAAACATCTAGAGGATTGTAGTACAGTAACTTTAATATTTATATTTGACAATATTCTTTTGCACTCAGGATTGTAGGGATTCAACCAGGTTTTAACAAACTGCCATGGAATTTTCCACATGAAATATTTCCAATAAAATATTGGTGGACGTCCCTACACAAAACAAAATGATCAAAATTAAACAATAAAAAGTCTATGATTATAAGTTTTTGAATAACAACGAAAATACATAATAAGAAAATCATTGGATGAGAATTTGTATTTTACACGGGAAAATACAATTTTGTCCAAATTTAAACACCAGGTGGCAGGTGCTCATAAAAAATATTTGTGGAATTTTTATATTTTTTAAGTCCTTTACGAGATTTTAAATTTTGTCAATACAATATAGTCATTAGCCATTAACCATACTATTATAATATCAATTGGTTTCAATAGCTTGAAGACATTAGGTAGGTATCTATCAATTACCATTATGATAAATTGATAACTAACAAACATAGAACCCAATTTATCATATAAGTTATAACCATAATATATTTTATTAATTACATTGTTTAATTGTTAGTATATTGTAAGTTACAATCAGGAAATACGTATAGATATCGATAACATATGCATACGGCGCGCGGTAGACCTCAACCTCTTACCACACTTTGCCAATATTTAATATTTATGAGCGTAAACAAAAATACCTTATAACATTTAGCTAAATGGTTAAAAGTACTTTAAAATTTAGTTAGTGACCTACATAATATGTACATAAAATATTAGAAAAAACTTTGTCACCTTTATACCTTCCAAAATTATATTATGTTAAGAAATGCTGATATACCGTAGTGTGACCACGAAACTGCGAGTTCACTCTATTATAACTCAGTTACCTACCTGCATTACTCAGTCGCCAAAATAGATACATATTTTAGAATTCTGTCTGCTTAAGATTGATGATGTAATATAGTCTAGTTCACTACTTCATGTCCCGAAAACAGAAATTAAAAAATATACATAGAGTAGTGAGCATTTGGGCTTGCATTTGAAAAAAAAATTCCGTTTTATGTTACTTACAATTAAAAAGTTATTTTACAATTTTACCGTTTATCGTTATTTCGAATTAAAACGTTGTCCAAGTTTTGAGTTTATCGTTATTTAGAACTAAAACGTTATACTTACAAGTTTTGCGTTTAGCGTTATTTAAAATAGTGTTAATTCCTATTAAATTTAAAAGTAATAACAAAAGCGGGTAGGTAATGGCCCAGATACGGAATATAATATAATCAACTCTTAGATTCTTAGATTGTTGTGAGTGAAATAAATGTTTCTACGAAACCAATAGACCTTTTAAATAAATACATTTTAAAATATTTCGTTTTGCGTTATTTTTCGTTTAATGATATTCTATAAATTATGTTTTGTTTAATGATATTATATACCATATTTTGTTAATCGTTATGTTTGTTTTGCGGTAATTAATTATTTTTTATTATCGATTTCTGTTATAATAACGTTTACAAATTGCAATGGCTGTTTGTCAAATACATTATATATAACGTTATAATCATAATGTTATTATAACGTTTGCAAGCCCTGGTAGTGAGTAATATAGGTACTATAATATGGGTAATTTAATTATACAGGGCACCATGTTTTCGAGAACACACGGTATATATTATTAAAGTTTCGATTTTAAAGTATCTAAGGTTATTAATTTTTGAATATTACAAAAAAAAAAAAAAAAATACTCAAATACATATATTTTTACGTGAATATTCCCGTTTACGGTAGGTTATTTTCTTCTAAATTAAAAAAAAAAACAACAAAGACTTTATAATAATATTATTATTGGTTCAGTGGTGCCCTACCCAGTGCCTATTAGATCTATGATGAAATGCATTATTATATTTTCACTTAGTAACCAAGATTATTTACTGATAATCTATTTACAAAGTAACATTTGTTATGCGTATCTTATCGTGTCTATACGAGCCATCACGTCAACCAGGCTCTAATTAAATTTTAATCATTTGATGACGAATTTTAATAGCCGAAAAGAGCTTTCCAATAGAGATATTTTAATACAAGTAATAGGTATTTAATATGTTTTTTAATGAACAATTTTTTTCGGTTCAACATATTTGAAAAGTCATGGATTCTAAATATAACTCAAATGAAAAATTATTGATTGATGATCCGCGGTTTAGAATAAAACCAGTACAACAAATGGCTGCTGCTTGTACAGGAGCGTTAATTACTTCCTTTTTTGGTTAGTTATTTATTTGCGTTATAATATGTTTAAACATTGAATCATAATTATATGTATTTACACATTTTTAGTTACTCCATTGGATGTAGTAAAAGTACGAATGCAAGCACAATCTAGAATAACAAATAAACATAAATGTTTTGTATATTCCAATGGTTTAATGGATTATATTTGTACGTGTGATCCATCAAAAAAAAAAACTTCTGATAGTCCACATTGCAGAAATGACCAATGGTACAACAAGCCTATCAAATTTAATGGAACACTTGTAAACACTTATTTAATTGAAATGATTTAAAAATCTTAAAAATATTTTTGTTGTTTAGGATGCGTTTAAACAAATTGCTAAAAATGAAGGAATTTTGTCACTATGGAGTGGGTTGAGTCCAACATTAATACTTGCCTTACCTGCCACAATTGTTTATTTTGTATCTTACGAACAATTACGATGTCATATTCATGATTTAACAAAACCTTATTATGCAAACAATAATCAAAATCAACCATTGTGGATTTCTGGCATATCAGGATGTGTTGCTCGTTTTGGAGCTGCTACAACAGTTAGTCCATTAGAACTCATACGTACTAAAATGCAATCAAAAAAACTTAGTTATTTAGAAGTACATCAAGCAATGCAAAGTTTATTAAAGTATCATGGCTATAAAGGTCTATGGAAAGGTCTTGGTTCTACTTTACTTAGAGATGTTCCTTTTTCTGGTGAGTTATACTTTTTTTTTGTTACAATCGGTTTTATAATTTTGTCGTTTGTTTTTATTTAAGTCCTTATAAAGGATAATAATAAGGTCCCTAATAAAAATTTGAATGTTGACTATTTAAAAATATTAATAATTATTAATTTTATTAAATTGCCTATACCTTCTTTATTGATTAAATAATTAATATTAATTTAAATTATTTCTAATGTAATGTTTTTGAAGGTATATATTGGGTGATGTATGAATATATTAAACAAATATCAGGCCAACAAACATCATTTATGTATAACTTTATAGCAGGGAGCATATCCGGAACGGTAATAAAGTTTAATTTAATTTGAATTGTTACTTAAATAAAAGTTGAATTAGTAAAAAAAAACGGTATATCCTATGGGTATTAATTCATATTAAATCTCAATAAATTTATGTGTAAGAAACTCATGTCTTACCTTTTACAATAAAATTAAGAGTATTGGAGATTTTCCTTGTTAATTTATCTATACAGATTATGTATTAATATTAAATAGGTAGGTAGGTTCATTAAAAGTTTATTTTTAGTATCTAAATCACCAATAGTTTGTCCTGGATTTTTATTAGCTAATGTAGTACCTAACTACCCAGTGCATAAATCCCCTCCATTAAAAATATTTTTTTTGTTCTAAGCGTATCGTATTCTACAACAAACAAATTGTTTTAAATTTAAGAAACTCAATAACGTAGAAACTATAAAATAATTCATTTCAAAATCAGTGAACTGTTTATTTGTATCTAATAAAATTTGTATTTTTCAATTATTTAATTGAGGTTAAATGTTATAGTTGGCTGCTTTATTAACTACTCCATTTGATGTTGTCAAAACAATTCGTCAAGTCGAATTAACTGAAAAGGAAATTATTACAGGTTAATAAAAATATTAATAATAATAATAATAATAATAATAATAATAATAATAATAGTAATAATAATAATAATAATAATAATAATAATAATAATAATAAAAATATTAATAATAATAATATTAATGAAGATAATATAATAATTAAATTATATTTTGAACAAATAAATACCTAGTAGTTATTTCAGAACCTCCTAAAATAGCTTCCAAATGGACAATCAAAGAAATTATCGACATATATCAAACAAATGGAATACGTGGAATTTTTAGGGGCTTAGTTCCTCGGATAAGCAAAGTAGCACCTGCATGTGCCATAATGGTATCAACATTTGAATATGGAAAAACATTTTTTCAAAATATTAATATGCAAGCACACAAAAAAAAGAATGAAGAAATTCTTAAATAATAGAAAAAAATTTGGAAAAGAATTATTTGTAAAATATTGTCCATGGTTACTATAGAAATATAAAACATATTTGCAAAACAGTACCGGCCCTTGGTTTGGGGGAGGGTGGACAAGCGGTGGGGTCGTAATAGTATGCGAATTGCGATCCGTGTGGACATGATATTTTCTTAGGAAATAGGTGGTTATTGACAAAAATCAAAACAGTTCCAATTATACTCAGCTATACACAGTGTTATTGGCTTGAAAATATTCCAACATATTTTATATTCATAATTTAATTACATAGTACAAGAAACATTAGTTATAGTATCATTATGTACTTGGAACGAAGACCGATGACGGTACAAAAATAGCTATAGCCTATAACATAGTATATTAAATAGTATAAAGATATTATTTTGCTTTCATAATTAATTTAATTATTAAACTCTTTTTGTAATGAACCTCGAAAATAATCTTGATACAGCCTACAGAAGGCTACATGGGTAACGCTAGCAAATTACTACGAGACACTGTGTTAATGATGTACACATAACAGCCCAATTATAAATTAAATATTTTAATATATTGACTTGATTATATATGTCCGTATGTCCCCGACAGTAATTATACAAATACAGTATACACGCATAATGTAACGCACACAATACACATTACAATAAATTAAACGAATCTCTTTACTCTATAAATATCCGAAATTAATATTTTTTTGTATCTAACTAAATTTCAAATTTATCGATGTATTACAACATTTTTTTCTATGTTAGAAACATTAATATAATTCTTATCTGAATTTTAAAAACAAGACTGATAGCCGATATAGGTAATATTTTTTTCACAGGCATTTATTTACAAAATACTATACTGAATATATCGTATATTATTTGTACCTAAGTAGGTACCTACTCATTTTGTGTCTAATATAAAAATACAAATTGGATTTGATTAGTTTATACGTACAGATTTAGATTTCTAACAAGTAATTAAAGTTAATAAAAATAAAGCAAGTTCGTTAGAAAATAAAATAAATATAGATAAATATATATTTACTTATACAAATATAATATATAGGGCCCCAAAAAATTCTGTACCGTCCCCGAAATCCATTGGGCCGGCACTTGTGACATTTGTAATAATTGTTGTTTTTTTTGTATTGTACCTATATATTATTACCTAACATAATTAATATTACAAAAAATAACACCTTAAAATTTATATATAAGGTGATTCTTTTATCAAAAAATATTCATTATTTAAAAATATGGGCAAGTGGGTGACACTCAATCATTGTAATACTATAATGTACCCATAATATGAACAAATTCTGAGCAAAGATGGACAGTCAGGTTAAGTATATATTTTATGATGTTTTATTGATTACAATCAGGGCCGGCGTAACGTAATATTTGTGAGGGGTCGTGGTTAAGGAAATTGACGACTTCAATAAATTCATGTGTAAATACATCCTAAAAAAGGTGGGTAAGTGGATGTCGCTCTGCCGTACAGTAGGTTACAAGTGGGTCACTGTAATGGATGGTGTCAAATTTGAATTCAATGATATAATATCATTGTATAAGAAAAACGGTCAGTCAGCCTATGCTTTTACTAAGTATATTTGATGATATTATATTATTGTAAATAAAGTAATTTATACAATGACGTAGCCAGGGGGGGGGGGTCCATGGGGTCTGGACCCCCTGGAAATGTCATCGACGAAATTTTTTTTAGAATATGAGTGGAACGAAAATGCTGGTGTTTTTACAATGATTTTTTTTTGTACTGGTAAACCTAATAATTAATTATAATATGTTCCGTCAATCGAGGTGACTTGGAACGATTTTGACATATTTCTTGTTATTCTGAGCTTAAAAAAAATCGCACTGGACTACAAAAAATACATAAATGTTTGCATACGTCTCATGAATAGGATAAGACCTTTCATTTAGTTTTTTGACCAAAACTGAACTTAAAAAAAAGTAAAAAGTACGTGTTCCAAGTCACCTCAATTTTTGGGTGACTTGGAACAGCTATGAAAATTTAATGTGAAATTCAATTCAAGAACGTTAGAGGTGACTTGGAACAAAATTTTTATTTTAAAAATTACCGCAAGAACATGTTAAATAAATATTAAAAAGAAACAGGTTAACTTTACCTTTTTTTAACAGTAAATTAAATATTTAAATAATAACATGATAAAAACAAAATAAAAATTCTTTCTAAATAGAAAAACATAACTAAATAGTTCTTCAAAATAAACACAAATACATTTGAAATATCATCGAGGGCCTGTTAAAGTGTTTCGTCACTGTCATTTATATATGTCCGGCTACCCGGTTTACGCTCGTATTTGTTTGGCATTTTTGGTGTTCCAAGTCACCCTCAATTTTCTTCTGTAAAATAAAACTTAAGTTATAAAATTAGAAAAAAATGTTTAAGGACTTATAACTACAAAAGTCTGCTTTTGAAGTGTCCTTTAATGTATAAAAAATATACAAATCTTTAAATTTGACTTCAATCACCAACATTTGAAGCACTTTTGAGAGCAATGATAAAATCGTTGTTATCATAAGAAATGTTTGGTTATTTTTTTCGGTGGTAATGATAAGACCAACCACATGGTTGATAATAACATTTATTATCACAAATATTGTAAATTTAATTTAAATGCAGGCATATTTAAATTATATCATTTTGTTTCATAGATAACCTGATATGTTTAAAAAAAAACCGGGGTGTTTCATTTCACCTCAAAGTTCCAAGTCACCTCGATTGACGGTTATGGAAAAAATTACAAAATAATACGGTTAGCACACTCATAAATATAAATAAAGGTATTCGTATGAGTGTATGACGTATACCTTATAGCTGGGTATGAGGTAGATAGATATATACATAGACGATAAACCCTCGTATAAACTATAAACTCTATAATAACCATGTTGATAAGAAATGACACAGTACTAATTAGTAGGTACCAAAGTTAAGGTAGATTTGTAATATAATAATCATGATTGTCCTTTATCATCTGACTAGATCGTAAATTTTATTTTTTATTGTTAATACTAACAATATAATATCGTATCGCGTATACAATTTAAAGCAAAATGCCAAAATATAATATTGTTCACTTTTGGCAGCTGTAGAAAAAAGTTGTTTTATAATTTCATTACTTGTCTGTGAAAATCTTTTAAGTTTCACTCTACCATTGTCACATTATTTGCAAAGCCCTAAACGTGATCTTTAATCTGCTGTTGATTATGCTAAACATATTATAAAGAGGCTGAAACATGTGAGACAAAATCCAAATGAATCGTTTACAAAAATTTTTCAAGAGGCTAGTAAATTATCTAAAATTTATTTTGATATTGAAATTAAAATTCCGTGTACTACGAATAAACAAAATTATATTGATAATTATTCATGTAATTCACCAGAAGAGTATTATAAAATAACTGTATTTTTACCGTGTTTAGATGGTTTTATTTTACATCTCGAAAATAAGTTTGAACAGAATAATGATATATTTTTATCGTCAATAGAAATATTATTACCAAAATTCGCTTTAGAAAAAAACGTCGAAAAACTAAAAAACCTCACCATTTAGTTTGAAGATAAAATTAGTGAAAAAAATATAGCAAGTGAGTATTTACTTTGGTGTGAAAAGTGGAAAAATAATGAAGAAACCCCTACAGATATTATGGCTATTTTAGACTCGTGTGATTCGACTTTTTACCCAAATATAAACCATTTGTTACGAGTTTTGGCAACCCTCCCAGTATCTACAACTGAAGTTGAACGATCATTTTCAACCTTAAAAAGAGCAAAAACACTACTTCGAAACCAAATTGGAAATTACCGTTTAACAGGGCTGACTCTTTTATCCGTTCATTGGGAAATATCAGTTTCACCAAATGAAGTGTTGAATATAATGGCAAAATCAAAAAGAAAATTATTATTATAAATTATAATTTTATTATATCTATGTTATATTTATACCTACATTTTTTTTATTTATAAGATATTTTTTTTTTACAATATGTACATAATATAGCATTCTTAATATAGTCATTATGAATTTAATTTTTGATTGATTAATAAGAATGGTTAAATTTACTTATTATTTTTTTTTTTGACTTGACACCATGATTACCACCATGTATTTTTATATCATGTTTAAGCTGATAGTTTCATTAATATTTAATTAATATTATTTTAAATAAATAAATGTTGTAATAGAAATATGAATTTTATTTTTACCTAAATGCATACACGAGTATAGAATTACGCATTTGAACTTACGTTGGCATGTTAAAAAAGCAAAAAAGGCCTTAAAACACATATTTTGGAAAAAAATTGTTTGAAAAATTCACTTGGGCGCTAAACTATAATTGCTACAGTATTAGTAAGTTCTTATTTCTCCAAAAATTTACTTTTTAGTTATATTAATATGAAAAGTTTGAAATAACTTAATAATTAAGTTTTACATGGCTTATTACCAAAAACGATAAAAGTAAGTAGGTAAGGTAAATTCTGATTCCACCAAAATGTGACAGCATAAAAATACCAACATGTAAAAAAAAATTCCATTCTTGGTATACCTATTTAACTCGTAAACGTGATTTTTGGAAAATCGAGCCATTTGAAGTATTTTGAACACAGCTTCAAAATGAAGTTGGAGCTGAGTACTTTTTTTGAAAATACCATTAAATGAATCATGCAAAAATACACATTTTGAAAAAATTTCCAAAATATTATTTGAGAGCTTAACTAGAACATATTTTCCACTATCGACTATTTAATTTAATTTAATTAACTTTTTTTTTATATTTGAAAATGTGGTTCAATGAGTGATGGGTTCGTCTCCATTTGGCCCGGATTACAATGTAGTAAGTGGTTATTAAATTAATATAAACATTTTTTATTTACTATAAATCAAAATGAAAAAGTATTGTAAGTACATTTTTTTTTACATATAAAAACCTGTATATGAGTGATTAACCAAAACCTATTAGTAGTTCATAACTGGTTTTCAAACCAAAACCGGGAAATTGGTTTTGGTTTCTAGCCAGTGATCAATCTATAATATGTTTTTATAATGACACCAATTTAAAACCGTTCAGACGTTGTCGGTTTGCCAACTTCACGCACGTCCTTGTTTGTGGCCCAAACAATATGTTATGATTTCCAATTATTCTAAATTGATTGTCTGTGCTAACTGCTAATGTACTAATGTACATACTCGTACGGACAATATTCCGGACGTGCATTCGTCCACACTGGCGCCACTATATACCTAGTTCGTAAATATTTCAATGGCAAAACGAACTTTTTTTAAGGTTTAGGTAAATAAGTAATTTAATTTAGTTAATATAAGTTAGAAACTCATTTAATTATAAAATTAAAAAGGGAAAATTTATTTGAAAGGTGAAACAAATCTATACATTAGCTGTGAAGTTCAGGTTCTGCTTGATAATAATAATATATCAATGAAAGAAAATTACAATAATGATTTTGTTTTTGGTAGAAATGACTTTGATTGTAAAATATGTAGTAAGCAATTGCCTGAAGATGCATTTGACCAATTAGCAAACTGGATTCATGGTATCAATTTACACAATTTTAGAATAGTAGTTTGCATGAATTGGTCGTAGGGGTTGAACCAAAACAACTTCATGACAATGTTAAGTGTATACAAAGTTCTGATGATAGTGATTCGAGTATCACTAGTTATGAAGATGACATACAAGCAGCTTAAAAAAAAGTTACTGTACAAATAATTCTTTATATTTTGTCAAGTTACAACTTAATATCAGCATTTTCAAATTTGTACATAGGTTATAAGTCACTTGGTACAAGGCACAATACCTCCTTCAGTCCTTCATTTGATTCAGCTGCAGAACGTAGCTTTTCAAAGGTAATTCTAATTTATTAGTATATAATTTAATATATATTCTGTACTGCACATATAATATGTGTAAATATACGTAGACAGTAGACATGTATTTTGTACAAATATAAGTTAATAACAATTAACAAATACATTTTAGAACAATAAAAATTTTGTTTTAGGTAAAATTGATTAAAACTCGTCTACGTTCTACAACAATACTTGAAAGCTTATTGATTTCGAGCATGGAAAAGGATATTGAAATCAATTAAGTACAATGAAGCCATAGATACGTTTGCCATGATTTCAGATTTTTAAAAAAACAATTGTTATTTAAATAATTAATTTCATACTTTTAACTTTGTTTTTAGTTAACATAATACTACTAACTGTAAACTGTTTATACATTATCTAGGTTTCTGTAAAATATGTTAATAATTTATTAACATATTTTACAGATTCTTATAATGTTATATTTATTAATAATAAATATAACATTATAAGAATAAAGGAACTCTCATTTCTTAGAATGTAATTATTTTTTTATTATAGGTACCTACATTTTATTATGTTTTATTTTCTTTAGCATTTTCAAAAATAAAAAAATTATAATACAATACCAATACAAATCACATCTGTCAATTCAATTGTCCTCTAAGGAAATAAAAAAAGGAATAAGGATGATGGAGAAGTGGAGAACCAATGCACTATATTATATGCAATATGTATTATGTACCTACTATTGTAATGACAGTTTTACATTTGGTATAAATGTATAATGATTAAAAATAATTATTTAGTTAGTTAGCTATGTTTTTATTCCATACAAAATAATGTTTTATTTTTTCTTTAAAAATGTTTTTTATACAATTGCAAGTGTAGTAGTGATATTTTATTTTTTAATAAAAAAAAAGTCACAAAATCTTTATTACTTATTATTTTGTACTATTTGTGAAAATGTAGAAGTATTATCAAAATCACAGACAATTACAAGAATAGATTTTCCATTGTAATATAATATGTTTTAATAAGTATATAACCATTTAGATAACAATTGCAAAGTAAAAAGTCTTAAATGCAGACGACTACACGTAAAAGGCCGTGACTCATGAATTGGGTGAAAATGGCATTAATGCAGTATTTGGATTGAAAACACAGTTACCTACCAAGCGATGCTGTGCTAGTGCTTCGGAACCACAAAATGCATATTTCTTAGGCCTGGAGTCAAAAGTTTTGAAACACTTTTTGCAACAAACTATAGGACGATTACATTTATTTATTTGTGAACTAACGAGCCGCGAGAAGTTTGAAATGTATGTATAATGAAGTTGGTTTTCCGGGCCAGCGATCAACAACAAGTCAAAATGATTTGGCATCTCTTCGTCGGTCACTCGCAGCGGGTACACCAACAGTTTTGTCGACAATGTTCTATTATATTTCAGACTGTATACGTTTACGGACGTACCTGGATTCGCTCGCTCGAACAATGTTATCTCCGATACAGTCGTGGGGACGGATAACACGGAAAAGTCGTAACGGTGCTCTTCGTTAAAATAATTCGTGCTTACTCGATGACGGTACTTTGATACGTGTCTCGCCAGAATAGCCCACTTAAAGCACTGCTGATCAATGCTTTGTGGGTTAATGACCGCCCTTTGAAATATAATACTTGCGGGCAACGTCAAGTATGACCACATAACTATCGGTGGGTCGTACTGGTGCACGCCCAAGGTCAGTCCACCAAAATACGATATAAAGGCGACCCCGCTATATTTACCAGAGAAAATGTTTTCTTTGGTGAGAAGAAGAGTAAAATCGCAATCGACCAAACCCGCGACGTTACTGTACACAAATAATTGTCTAGCTGGAGTTTTAAACGAGTGGTTTTCGGTGATATTGTTTACTTCTTTAGTTATGACATAGGTGGCCTCCAACTTGAGATCGTATTGAATTGGGTGAACACCCACACGTTCTCTTAATTTTTCAATCAATTCCGACTCTATGGAGTGTAGAAAAATGCGAAAACTGGTGATATTGTAAAAATTTTTTCTAAAATACCATACGCTCATGCGTTGAAGCGATGAATCGATTTCGATAAAGCCGCCCATATTCACCGATTGTATACTGTCCTTTTGTATCTTATTATTTTCAATCGAATACTCGGAATAACGCCATGGCATCAATGACGGCGCCCCTCCATAAACTGTTGCAGTAGAGGTGGTTGCGGTACCCTGTAGGTGGTCGAGTGTTGGAACACGAGACGCGAGGGTTGTGTGCACTTGACCTGTTGCAGCGACCGTCACAGGCTGTATAGCTAGTTGTTGAACGTCAGATGTTGGAGCGGGGGGTGACCAGTGTATAACCGTAGAGCGAACTAACACGGATTAATAGTATTAAAATGTTGTTATTATTAAAATATTGTAAAAGAAAAAATTGATTTACCTGTTGGTTGGAGTTGGGCACCCATTTGCGTGGCGTCGCGGCATTGATGAGTATGACTGTCGGAAACTATTATTTTTTTAAAAAATAATTTAATTAATAACCTTGAGTCAAAATAAATAATCTATGTACTTACTGTGAGCATTTCGAATATGTTTGGATAGATTGGTTCGAAGTGTAAACATTTTGAAGCATATATCACATGAAAAAGGGGATGTGTCATGGGTTTTAAAGTGATTGATCAGATCGTCCATAAGAACATACACTTTAAAACATGTTACACATTTAAACATTTTTGGAAATTAAATTCGCACAGAGTTTAAAAATGAAACCATTAGAAACCGGACAGGGACGTTATGCTCCGTTGAGCTAAGATGACCGACTGATTTGTATAGATCATGCAGGGTGGTAGTAGTATATTATACACTGTATACAATCCATAGGTAGTACCAAACGTCGCAGGCAGTGAACCTTGCGGTACACGAGTGGCTGGAGACGGTGGGGGGATATAACCTTGTCCGATATAATTATTAATGGGCTTATACCTATAATGTGTGTATTGTGTATAGGTACTCAGTGCGTTGGCCTAGTACTTAAAGGGCCCCGGATGCATTTATACAAAAGGGACCACAAAAATGTTATTTAAAAAATGATAAAAAGAAGTGTTAATAAACAGGTAGTGCAAAATATTATATTTTTTAAAGGTACCCTATTAAAAATACACATTTAAGTTAACTACATAGTTATAGAAATGATTTATAATTCTAAAAAATTCATATAAATAATACTTTATACTATTATATAACTTAATATTTTTTAATGCGATTCAAGTTGTGTAATTGATTTTATTTATATCAGTAATTTTTGAAAAAATGATAATACTATAACACTATTATAGTTTTTAATTATTTAATATATAATAATATTCAATGCCCAATATTCATAGTACTATTAAAAATATGGGCTGGGGCCCGGGGCGCGTTCGTGGCCTAGCGGCTATATGGCCAGGCTGACATTGTAAAGTACTAAATATAACGGTGTAATTGAATCGGCTGATAAGTACAGGCCAAGTACAAGTCAATATTTTACCCTTAAGTATCATTGAATTGACTTCCATGAATTTACTATAGAATTGACTCCCTAAATTTTTTTAAAAATATTTTGGTTAAAAAATGTTATTAATAGTTTAAAATTGGACGGTATTTCGTAGAGAAGTTGACATCAGTCTCCTTCAAGATTATCAAGTAAGTTAAGTATGATTCTTAATTTTAATACATAGTTCACGTTATCGGGTTCGTATATTTTTCATCGTTATATTGATAGTTGTATATTTGCGTATACGTATGTTTATTTTTACCCTAAATTATTTAGTAAATATTTTGTACAAATCTCACGAGAGTGGGTGGAGAAAAAATAAAAGCTAAGCAATAATTAAAATATTAAAACACAGACAGTTGTGAGGCTGAACGCATTGTTATAAAATATAATAGGTATGTAAGTATAAATATTATAAATTAATAAGTTTAATAATAAGTGTTAAAATTGGTTTTAAAAATACTAAAAAGGGTTTTTAATTTAACTATAATCATATATTTTATTTTAATTAATTAATTTATTTATTTACGGTTGCACGTGATATACCTATATATATTTACACACAGTAAAACCTACTTATAAGTTTCCGTTATAAGGAGACTAAAATATACGGAATATAGGTTATTCGGGACCATTGTTATTTTCAGTTAGGTATAAGAAGAATTCCGTCTTATAGGGGGTCTGTTACATAAGGAGATTTTACTGTAAATACACGGTTACCAAGGTTGTCTTTTCAAGGAAACCAAGGTCAAATTAAAATAAATATAATGAATACGACGCCCATTTACAGGTGGGGCAAAAACGATAGTGAAATAATCGATAGGTACCATCGATACGAATATATATATATACAGTGGACGCCTCTTATTGGACTCACGGTTGGGTCTGAGAATAAATTTCAAAATATTGAAAAAAGTCTAAGAGGTTTATGACAAAATCGATTTTGGTTTTTGGTGTAACTCTAACACAAATTTTCTAAATATTTTGTTTTGTTTTGAACTGTTTCACGGACATTTTCAGTTACAAATTTTATTTTTGTTTTGTTCTATGAATATCAAATGTTGTAATTGAAGGAGAGGCTCATACGAGGATTTGATGGCTGAAGAAAAACTATTATTTTAGATTCCGAGTGGAACGATGAATGTATTGATTTTACAATGATGTGTGTTTTTATATTTTTATTTTTTAATTTTTAATTTTTGTGTCTGTGTACGCGATAAGTAGTCGAAATAATGCTTTGATTTTCAACTTCAGTATCTTGTTCGATTGGAAAGTGAATATTATCGTTGGTGCATTGGGATAGTCAAAATTAAAAAATTCCCAGTAATTTTCAAAAGCGCTAAGAATAACAAAAGAAAAATTAAGGAAAAACGGGAATTTTTAAGCAAAATCGATTTTCCACAAATTCAATATTGGTTTATGGTGTAACTCTAAAACAAATGAATGAATATACATGAAATTTTCACTAATTGTTTATATTTGTATTTTCGATACACGATAACATTTTCAAAATATTTTGGTTAATTTGAACTGTCTAGGGACTTTTTCATTTAAAATTTTTTTTTAGTTTTTTTTCTAAAAATATCAACAAAATTTTATTTGTTGGTTAAAAAACCTTGACAATTTAATAGAAGGCTCCTAGTATATTGTTCCAAAGCAGATGAAAAATATTACAAATCCTTGGTTACATTTATTTTTATAAGCATTTAAATTTCAAAAATTGAAAAAATCACAAAAATTAGCAAATTATTTTGAGTTAAGAATTCGTAAAAATTTTTCTTTTTAAATCTAAGGTTTTAAAATGTAATACAAGATTATTCATAAGTTTGTCTACCTTTATCAAAAAAAAATTCTATAAGAAAGGCAAATTAAATTTTTATGAGCATTTGAAATTCAAATTAGTACGACATTGGATATTCACTCGATTTCTCATATAGAGATTTCCTTCTTTTGTTGTACATAGGCACAATTTTTTTTATAAGCATTTAAAGATAGAATTTTGACAAAATGTATCAAATTTAAAATTGAATAATTATTTTGTAGTTAATAATTTATAAAATGTTCAACTTTTATATCTAAGGATTGAACATTTAAAACAAGATTCCACGTAAGTAGTTAATTATGTTACCAAAAAATCTAAAAATACATAAGCACAGTTTATTTTTATAGTAATTTTAAGTTCAAATTTGGATGAAATTACATAAAAAAAACTAGCAGCAATCAGTTTCCATCACAGACCATTGTTTATTTTGAATACCAATGTGTGAGTACGCCTTCACATAGTGGCTTGGTTTTAGCATTCAGTCAGGAAACGTGTTCTCAGTGTACGCACCTGCGGTTCACCAGTTTCCCGGATGTGTAACTACCCGGGTTTAAACTGACAAAACCTTCCAACACATATGTGTGTCGTTCCACTCAGAATCTAAAATAAAATGAAATAAAAAAAAAGCTCACATCATTGTAAATTCAATACATTCATCGTTTCACTCAGGTTCTAATAATATATTTAATTTAATACAGCTATGAATATTGGATAATATCTATATTATAGATAAATCCTAGACACACTCCTTTCTTTAATCCAATCTAATTGTCATGAAACTGGAATTCAGTTTTTCCTTGTCAATACTTGAAAGACAGCTATAAACTTTAAATTATAAATTTATTTATATTCAAGACAAAATTAAGTCACGGGTGTATTTTTAATTCTAATTGTTAAGACAAATTAAGACATATAAATAAATACATATACTATATACTATATTCAAAGGTTTAATAAAAACAAATAACGCAGTAATATATTATTCTCATAATATAATTTATATACAAGCAAGCCTTTAATATTATTATATGTTTTACATAAGTATGTTGTTTCATAGGTTATGTTAGGTTATGTATAATTCAACATTTAAACTTTAAAATTCTAATTTTTTAATAAATAATTCTACATTTTCGGAGTATTTTGAAAATACAAAAATTATGGATCATGACTTAAAATGGGCATTGGTTCATTGTAATAATTACCTATCCTCTTTATAGCATAGAATCTATTCACTCGAGCGCACTTAGGCATGGTCAGTTTCAAGATTTTTCGATAGAAATAGAAACAGAGTAGGTACCCAGATATACCTATTTTACAGCAGTGCGATGGCTTAGGCGCGGAAAAGTCCTATCGCGAGTTTTTGAACTAAGAAATGAAATTGAAATATTTCTAATTGATAAGAACCGACCATTGCCTTTACTTACAGATAGTGAGTGGGTTTGGAAATTAGCTTTTTTAGTGGATATCACAAAATATATGAACGACTTCAACCTAAAGTTACAATAGGTAAAGATGTTCTTATTTGCGATGCTTACATATTAGTAAAGGCATTTAGGCAAAAACTTATTTTATTTGAAACTCAAATTTCAAAAAATTGTTTTATTCATTTTTCTACTTGTGATAAATATAACAAAGAATCAAAAACACAATTTAAAGTCGACTTCTCTCAAAAAATAATTTCTGAGCTTAAAATCCAATTTAAACAAAGTTTTTCTGACCCTGACGTAAAATCGGAAGAAATAAATATTTTTCAAAACCCGTTTAGTTGTGATATTGAGAAGTTACCTCCTACTCTTCAAATGAAAATGATTGATTTACAAAGTAATGATACACCGAAAATCAAACATCGTGAAGAGACTTTAGTTGATTTTTATCAATTTCTCCCAGATACACAGTATCCAAATTTAAAAAAAATTGCAATTGAATATATTATATCTGTATTTTCTACGACTTATTTGTGCGAGCAAACTTTTCCAAAATGAAATACATCAAATAAAAATATAGATCGGCCCTGGCTTACAAACACTTTTAGTCAATTATGAAAATTGGAACTAGCAACATACAACCTCAATTCGATCGAATATTCGCAGAAAAATATCAATTTCATACTTCTCATTAAAAAAAAAATTATTTAAAAAATTATTAAAATTACAATGTATACCAACTATATTTAAGTATATTGTAGACAATATTTTATAAAAAGATTTAAAGTAAACCTATATTTGTATACCTATATTTTCATAAAATTAAAAATTATATGTGTTAATAAACTTTTAAGAGCATTTGATATTTTTTGAAGTCTTTTTTTATCTGATAGTGTTGTAGTCTTCAAAGTGG